GGACTGGATTAGAACTCAATTGAAATCCTGGGATTTAGCCAAAGATCTCTTCACGGATCAGCTGGATTGGGCTGAGGTCGGTATCGAAATAATCCGAGCGGCTCTGATTAACTTTTCAAGACTTAAAGCAGCCAACCGTAGCTGGAAAGAACAGCAAATCAAAAAGGTGATCACAGAGTCAGAGGCTAACATGGGGGGGATCCTTTCTTCGAGTATTACTGGGCGGAAAAGAGAAGACTGGCAATCTGTGAATTAGAAAAATTAGAGGTTTTGAAACAAACGGAGTGGCTGGATTGGCTTAACATCAGGGGTATTGTGGGATATGACCGAATGACCAAGTTGTCTTTCAGGTCCTTGGTTCTCAGGCAGTCCAAGTCCCTGATAAGGGAATTGTCCCACCCCTTCGATATTAACCAAAATACCTCCTCTGACCTGAATAAAATGTGTTCCCATGCATTTGACTACTTCAGTGATATCGTTTCAACAAGGAGGACCTTTGATACCCCAGAGACTGACTTGTCCCTTTACACTACTTTCTGGAACAAATAGAGAGCTAGACTAACCCCTACTATGATGCAAGCCCTGGAGGAACCTTTCTCTTTAGAGGAATTGTCCAGGGCAACAAGACAGATGGCAAAGGGTAAATGTCCAGGCCTTGATGGCCTACCTGTCGAGCTCTATGTAGAATGTTGGGACGCTTTTGGCCCTTTTGTAGGGGAAATTTACAATGCTGTTAGAGATGGAGGTGCTTTTCCCAACAGTTTCCGGAAAGGGGTTATCTCTCTTATATATAAAAAAGGGAATTAAGTCAGAAGTACGTAACTACCGGCCCATATCGGTTTTAAACGTGATATACAAGATCTTGGCAAAAGCACATGCTATACGGTTATCTGAATTCCTGCCGCAGATTGTGGGCCCGGAGCAGGGGGCTTTTGTGAAGGGTCGGTCGATCTTTGATAACATTATGGCAGCCCTCCAGGCCCTGGAAATTATTGCCACCGAGAAAAGGAACGTTTCAGTCCTTCTCCTAGATATGGAGAAGGCTTACGATAAGGTCGGGTGGGCATTTGTTTTCACAACTTTACGTGTGATGGGGTTTGGCCCAATCTTCCTGAAATATTTCAGGGCAATGTATGTGGGAGCATGTTCTGTGGTCTCTGTAAATGGTAAGCTGTCTAAGGAGTTCATCCTTTCCCGTTCGCTAAGGCAAGGTTGCCCCTTAGCTCCGCTGCTCTTTGTTGTTCAGCTAGAAATTCTTCTTGATAATATTAGACACAACCCTGATATTAGAGGTTTGGAAATCCCTCCATCCATTTATTGGAAGGGGGGCGCGATTGCTGATGATCTTACTGTTGCATGTGAGAACACATCAGAGTCCCTAAATCAACTCAGGGAGATATTGGATGAATATTGTTTATTATCCGAGGCATCGATTAACTTGGAAAAATCCTCTTATTTGCTACCTACTCCTTATACTATTTGTGTAAACTGGGGTTTAAAAAGAGTGAGTCCGGATTCTTCGGAGCGTCTCTTGGGGATCCAGGTCTCTCTTTCTAATTGCTCTCTCAGCGAGGACCAGATACTGCAAGATAAAGTGTGTACTAGAGTATATGGTTGGCTGAGGAACCACAGATTATCAGTTACTGGCAGAGCGCTTGTTTTATCTGCGGCGGCCTTTTCTACACTATGGTTCCCTTTATCGGTTCATGCATTGGGGGACAAAGCGTATTCAAGGATCAAGCAGGCAGCAGCACGGTATTTATGGAAGCCCACTGCTATGGAAGAACAAGGCTTCATGATTAAGGCAGCATGGGATCTGGTTTGCCAGGCTAGGAAGGAAGGTGGTCTGGGTATCCAGGACCCAAGAGACCAAAATTATGCTCTCCTGTGTAAATGGGTGATCAAAGCCTGCTTTGATACTGTACATAAGCAGTGGAAAAATCTCGCAGAATACATCCTACGAAAAGAGCTCATTCTCCCGGCGCAAGTTAATGTCTGGCAGTACCTCGTGGTCTCAAAGCTGGGGATGACAAGGATAAAGTCTAAAGTATGGTCAGGCGTCCTACGAGCTTGGAAAAAGTTGAGGCCTGGTCAACTGCATGATCTGGGGACAAAACTGGAAATTTTAAATCAAAACCTGTTTGATAATAACTTAATCAAAATGAGTGCAGGGAAGTTTGACAGACCATGGGTATCTAAAGGAGTTTTTTTAATCAAACATATCTGGGATGAAGATAAACAGGATTGGATACCTTTAGAGGTATTGCGCCGTAAACTTCCTAGACTGCATAAGGTTCTGGAAAACTACAGTATCCTGAAACAAGCTATTCCCGGGCAGTGGAAAGCTCTGTTGAAATCTGAGGCGGAGTTCGGTATAAACACATGGTTGACACATCCGACAGAAGCAATAAAAGCAATTAAAGTCCTGGGCCCCAATTTGGGACAAGGAATGGACGTGGAAACCTGGACTAGGAAGAGTAAGAAGGAAATGGGGTTTGAGTTAATCAAGGAAGGGTCCTTTACTGTGAACACCACCAAGGAACTAACTGAGGTTCGTGTGTGGGAAGGTGGTAACTCAAGGAAAAACCCTATCCTGTTGGAAGGCTTGGCAGCAGACTATACGGTAGATCCACTACTGTATGGGTGGAAGGATAGAAAAGGGGAAGTATGCCCGCTAATTCAATATTCATCAAAGGTGGGCACTGCCCACCTCAGAGCGAAGAAGGCTCAACCGTTGGAGACTGCAAGACGCCGATTTCGAAAGCTCTATGGGGATTCTAAGCCGATACCGGATTTTCTCAGGCTGTGGAACCAGCTGAAAAATATCCCGTCCCAGAAACAGGCGAGTATCATGTGGAGCCAGTCGTTGGGACTGACGGTATCGGCAACGTGGTTGAGAGAGAGAGGAATGGAACTGGATCTTAATTGTAAGAGATGTGGTTGGCATTGGGAAACGGCAGAGCATATCTGGTTGTCGTGCCCACACTCTGAAGAACTGCGGAGGTGGTGGATACTCCAATGGGAAGATGGGGTGGGACAGAAATGGTTGTGGTCGGAGGACTGGATCCTCCTGGCGCAAGTAAATGCTGAGAAAGGTTCTCAGGGGGACTGGGAGTATGTTGCTCTGGTGGTTCGGGGCATTATGATGGAGGTGATTTGCAAAGCGAGATATTCAGCGGTCTTTAAAAACCAGATCCTTACTTTTCATCAGCAGAGAGCAATGGTCAAACAGATACTCAGAATGACCATGTTAGCAGAATGGAGGAGATCGGGCAGAAGATTTGGAAAAGGCCTGGTTTGGTTTAAGAAAGTTTGGGCCAGGGGAGGCTTCTTGTCTACAATAACGGATGAGGGACGGCTCGTAGTAGCCAAGTGGCTCGACTAAGTAAACAGCGTGTTTTTTCAAAGGAGAGCTGCATGGGTTTAGTATCTCGGCTTACTATTCTTTTAGGTATAATTTGCTCCTAGCGTTTTAGCCAGGAGACGTTCAGTAATAGGGCTTAGGATCCGTTCTGCCGGATTCAATAGGGAGACTCAATTGCTGTTCTGGGTTGGAGATATGGGTGTTTTGTTCGCTGGGGCTCTATTACTGTGCTTAATTGGGTTGAGGAATAAGAATTTTCTCTTCTGGTTGATGATTTCTTTGTTGGGCTCTTTTTCTGGACTTCAAGGTAAATTTTTTTTTTTTGGAAAGCGTAGGAACGTTATAAAGGACGCTGGACCTGATTTCCAGCTCTAGGAATTTCGACAGCTAAGGTTTATGGATATATCTTCGAGCTGGTACTCGTAAGCTAAACTGGCTAAATCTGCCAGGGTTACTCCGGGTTGAATTGTGAGGTCCCCGGCCTCTTGTCCTTATTTTGAGCAATCAATTTACAAGCTTTCCAAAAAAAAAAAAAAAAAAAAAAAAAAAAAAAAAAAAAAAAAANAAAAAAAAAAAAAAAAAAAAAAAAAAAAAAAAAAAGAGACGAACTGGGGTGAAGATAGGACAAGCGTTGGTGCGTTCTCTTTTTCGACATTCGGGCAAGAATTAAGACATCCAATCCGAGGACTGTTGAAAATGTGCGAGTTGCAGGCCTGAAGTGGAAACGAGCCCTTCTCGAGAGAGAGGAGGTGTCGAAACCCTTTTTCGCTCACAGCTCCCGAGTTTTTTTTGCATCTCGGATTTCGACATGCTGTGTGGCGAGGAGAAAATGTCGAAAATGCAGTTTTCGACATTGGTGTGGCGAGGCCCTCAGTCGTTCGTTTACAATCTGGCCGCTCACTTCGCCATTTCGCGATTTTGCGGGCCTTGTGTGAGCATGCCCTAAGCGAGGCCGATTGATGCACAAATGCGTGTACTTCGGGACATCCGTTAAAATTGGAATGATACAGAGAGAGAAGACTAGCATGGCCACTGCGCGAGGATGATCCGCAATAATCGAGAAATGGTGCACACACGCGGCTGTTAGCAAACACGTTATAGGCAAGGGCTACCCCTTTTCCCTTTTGTTGTTTTTTTCGTTGTTGTTTTTCACCTCTTTTAGAAAGGAGGAGAAAATGCGTGTGGACAAAAACAAAAACAAAAACAAAAACAAAAACAAAAAACAAAAACAAAAACAAAAACAAAAACAAAAACAGAAACAAAAACAAAAACGAAAACAAAAAAACAGAGCGTCTGATTCCACGGGAGTCTGTTTAGTAACAGACTTGTGTATTATTCAGCCTCAGGACCACGTGCCGGGAGAATGGGGACTTTCTCTCCCCCCTTCCCACTGCGGAGGAAGCGGCCCGCCTCTCCACTCCCGCACCTCAGACCGATCGATCGAGAGAACGGCGGAGTCCATAGGTATATAGCCCTTCAATAGGCGTACTCCCACCAGTCCAGCGTCGTCTCGCAATCCAACTCATTACGGATCGGTCCCATCTTCCACCCTCCCCTCCTACCTATCAAGCTGCCATCGTCGGTGCTCCAGCCAGCATTAGCAATTTACCACCAGCACGGTGGCGGAGCAGAGCAGATTTGAATTCCAGAAGAAGCAGAGCACAGTGAGAACGGGGACGAGGATGGCGGCGACCGTAGATGACATGTTGAGGCTGGAGATGCCTGCGGACGAGAAGCGCATCATTGCAGAGTACATCTGGGTTGGAGGGAGCGGTCTTGACCTCAGGAGCAAGCCCCGCACTCTGCCTGGTCCCGTCAAGTCGCTGTCTGAGCTTCCCAAGTGGAACTACGATGGCTCCAGCACGGGCCAGGCTCCCGGCGAGGACAGCGAGGTGATTCTCTATCCGCAGGCCATCTTCAGGGATCCCTTCCGAGGCGGGGACAACATCCTTGTGATGTGCGACTGCTACACTCCTCAGGGCGAGCCCATTCCCACCAACACTCGCTACGCTGCCAACAAGCTGTTCCAGCAGGCGCTGGAGACGGAGCCGTGGTTCGGCCTGGAGCAAGAATACACTTTGCTGGAGAAGGAGCACAAGTGGCCGCTGGGCTGGCCCGTCAATGGCTACCCCGGCGCGCAGGGCCCGTACTACTGCGGCGTGGGTGCTGACAAGGCGTGGGGGAGGCGCATCGTGGACGCCCACTACAGGGCCTGCGTGTACGCCGGCATCACGATCAGCGGGACCAACGGCGAGGTGATGCCGGGGCAGTGGGAGTTCCAGGTGGGGCCGGCCGTCGGGATCGCGGCCGGGGACGAGCTGTGGGTGGCGCGGTACTTGCTGGAGCGGATTACTGAGATGGAGGGGGWKATTCTGTCCCTGGACCCGAAGCCCGTGCAAGGCGACTGGAACGGTGCCGGGTGCCACTGCAACTTCAGCACCAAGGCGATGAGGGAGGACGGCGGATGGGAGGTGATCATGGAGGGCGTGAAGAATCTGGAGCTGAGGCACAAGGAACACATCAAGGCCTACGGCGAGGGCAACGAGCGGCGGCTCACGGGCCGCCACGAGACGGCCAGCATGGACCGGTTCTCGTGGGCCGTTGCGAGCAGAGGGACGTCCGTGAGGATCGGAAGAGACACGGAGGCGAAGAAGAAGGGGTACATGGAGGACCGCCGCCCGGCGTCCAACATGGACCCGTACGTCGTCACCTCCCTCGTCTTCGACACCACCACGCTCTGGAAGCCATTATAGAATGAGGTATATACAGTTACATAGTGTTTTTGTATGCATGTACGCCATCCCGCATTCGGGTAATTGTACTACTTGCAAGACTGTTTGTAGTTCGATTGTCTGGTAGATCGGTTCTGCGTAAGTTATAGTGTACTGCGGTCCTTGCCCTTCGTCTTAGCAGCTTGAAGGGTGAATTATTTAAATTACAATGATGCATTCATGAGATAATGTAGATATATCTAGTCAGTACATCCCATTCAGAGCCGGTTCCGATAGTTGATTGTCTTCGAATTGTTCTTTGGTTGAGAGAGAGAGAGAGAGAGAGAGAGAGAGAGAGAGAGAGAGAGAGAGAGAGAGAGAGAGAGACGTGTAGTTGAGGAATGAATAGTGCAATCGTTTCTGTCGTAATAATCGCCAGGAGGAGTGAGGTATGCAACGTCTGTATATGTCCTCCACATCGACATGGCGAGGTCAGTGCCCTTCATCTTCGTTCTCTGGCGCCAGCTAAGCGAGGATTGGTTCTGGTTCTTTGTCTTGAAATTTAAGATCGGAGCTCGTTTTTATGAGGTGGATGCTTGCGATGACTTTGTTTTCCGGTGTGATTGTGCACATCTCCGTACCTGTTCTGTGACAATATCGTCGGTCTATCTGTATTCTTCTCTGCCCTTTAAGGACTCCTCTGGTTGTTATCTTTGTCTGTTGTCAACAGAGTGAATGTGGCCGTAATCGTGAGCAAGGGCATTGCTGAAAGTCCTATTTTAAATACGCGCGAGCCGAGCAGCACTCCACAGTGGGCATTTCTGTGCCTCGTTGTCTCGCCCATTTTAAGAAGATCAACCTGTCCGCCGCACCCATCGGGCCCGATGCCCTTGATGCAGTACCGGATTTGTTCTGCCTGATTCTTGTTCCCTCGTATTCTGTTTCTCCACCCTATCAAAACTCAGAGGAGGCTTAGGGGCTGCTGCCTTTCCCCGTACGCAACGACCCCTCATCGTGACCGTATCCCATCGGAAAATAGCTTGTATGCATTCATAATCAGGGTGCGTTGAGCTCGGSGGAAGACGATAGCAGCCTRCAGCTCGGGTTGTCAGWACCTTGATCGCCTGCCACATAATTTAGCGCAGCCACGCCTGCTGGCAATCACCGTCCATCGATGACGACTTGTAACTTGTAAGCCGTACAAATCTCACCCTATTCACCGCTGACTTTTTTTCTGTGAGGCCTTTTCCTAGTTTCTGGAGGGAAAACTGCTGATGCTGCCACTGCAGACGGCACTTCACAGCACGAAGACTCAGGGCCTTTTTGCCGAGTCAGCACAATTGGCATGTGGGGCTTCCGTCCCTGCGCCCATCTTGCGTCCTTCCGGCCTTGTCTTCCAACCAGGGTCTAATGTTGGCGGCATAACCAGGGGTCTAATGTTGGCGGCATCTCCGCGCATTGTGCGTGATCCAGCTGTTTGTCAAATTGACAGTCGCAAATTCTCAGCTAGACGTCCCTGATCACTACTCCGCGTGGAAAAAGAGCGAACCTGGGCTGGCCTGCTGTAATCCTGGACAGTCTCTCTCGATAGAGCAACATCCTTGTCCGCTGGTGGGAGCGACGTAGCTGTATAGCCCGTCCAGCATCCATCCTGGTTGCAGGTCGGCTGAGGAAGCCGGAGCGCAGCAGCCAGCAGTAGCCGGAGATGAGGAGATCACACAACGAATTGCTCCCTCCCCGTTCAACGACAAATCGAGAACTCTATCGCTGCTGAGGAGATCACACAACGAATTTTGCCAAGTGTCTAGCTGATTCTTTTTTGTGCAGCTGCATCGTCAGCAAGGCCGCAACGGCTTTGTAGACCTGCAACGACCGTCTAGGCCTGCAATGACTCTCTAGGCCTGCGAAGGCTGTGATGACTACGTAGGCCAGGCCTCTAATGGCCTATGATCTATGCCTGAATTTCGTACTGACCTTAATTGGGACGCGCTTCTGATCCTTGGTTTTCTCTCGTCATGGTCGGATTGTCAGCGTACTGTGTGTGGGTGCGTTTGTGTTTTCTTCTACTGTTCTTCCTATCCTATCCTATCCTAGATGACATTGCGAAGCAACGAGTCGGACTTGTCCCTTCCGACTTGTGTTCAACCTTACACTGCTTACAGGCCTTGATGCCGAAACAGAGTAAACCAACTGCCCACCTTGTCCTTGGCGTGGAAACCTTCTGCGAAAAAGTCCAACGTTTCCTTCTTTTTTTTTCTCCACCTAAAAATTTGGGCCATCTTTCTATAATGATTCATGGCATTTTTTTGGGTGTCATACTTGTGCAGGGTTCATGCTAATTACCCTTCTGGGTATGGTACTTCTTTTGTTTCCACACTCGTGTGGGAAGGCCCCTGTTTTAACATGCAGACCTTTTTTTTTTGAGAAAATTGCGTATCTACCCCACTTAAAGATGTGGATACCTGCTATTATATCCATTCCCCTCGCTAACTTGCATCTACACCCCAGGACCCAGACGCCGTTCAACTTTGCATACTACCGCTGTGTGAAATTTTAGGTGTACCCAATCCCGGAGGCCCTGGATTCTGGAGCACCTAATTATGCTCATGCCCACCAAGTAGACTGTTTTCGTCCAACGGCTGCTGGGTATGAGCATAGTTTTAGCCATCGGGTAGGAGTGTATATAAACAATTTTGTCCGTCCTCCTGAGGTCCCGGGTATGCCCATAGTTTTGCCTAGGTATGTCCATCATTTGTGCAGTCCAAGAGTTGGTTATAACCGCAATTTTGCAGTACCAACCAGAGTCCACGTCGGTCCTGGGCACGCCATTTTCTCCATACAGACACAAGTTGGCACTGGGAGTGGGTATAGCCAGTATTCCCATTTTTAAGTGGGGTACAGATGCGGTTTCCCTTCTTTTTAACCCTTTTCCCAAACCGACTCTTTGGACCTTGCTCCACTCCTCTACACTCTAGTTACAGATGCAATTTCCCTTTTTTTCACATTTTTCCCCAACCTGCTCTTTGGGCCTTGCTCCACTCCTCAACACTTTACAGATATGGGGACTGTTATGTGCACCAATTGGACCGTTTCCTGACCCCTTGTCTAGTAGCCTGGACCACAGAGCCTAAACGGATTGTAGGCATACCGGTAGCAGCAGGGAGGGTGAAATGTGTTATGTGCATAGGGACTGTTATGCTCTCCACTCCTCCATGCTCTACAGCTATGAGAAGTGTTATGTGGATCATCTGGACCGTTTCCAGACCCCTTGTTTAGTAGCCTGGACCACGGAACCACAACGGATTGTAGGGATACCGATAGCAGCAGGGAGGGTGAAATGTGTTCTTGTGCCATCAGTCTCCGTTTTGCAATGCAGACATGTTTGCCTCATCTCTCAAATATTCCTTTCGCGTGCACTGAGCTGTTATTAACACGTTATAAAGTTGATGACTTCCACCAAGAATTGGATTTCCTGCTTGTGCTAGTTCCATGCGAATTAGTACAGAGAAGCATGTGCCCATTACTCCAGCAATTGCACCAAAGATTAGATATAAAAGTACCTGTACCTTGAGCCATCTCTGTGCAAAAATTGCCATATCAGTTGTTCCCCATCTTTCAGTGACAAAATGCTTTGTTGAACTAGTTTTGACTGAGAAAGAAAAATCAGAATGGGTGAATTCGTTCTATTTGGCATTGTACTATTCAGTGTGCTAAGTTGAAAACAAATTTTACTTTATGATGAAAAAATTCTAGTAGCTAAGGGGGACTTCCTGCGCTACAGTCTAGGCTGGTGGGGAGAGAATATGCTGGACTAGATCTGGATGGAGGGGGGTTAATTCTTTTTTTTCCGGGATATAACGTGAGGACCCGGCCTCAGAACCTTTTTTTTCAGAACCTTTTTTTTCAGAACCTTTTTTTTCATGAGCAAAAAAAAAAAAAAAAAAAATGTTTCGAAACAGTCAGCACTCAGTCTATATTACCAAATTCTTTTAGGGGAAAAGTTATTAACACCCCCCCAAATGGGGCAAAAAGTGTCGCAGGCCCCAAAATAACTTTTAGCGTCACTTTTGCACGCTGGCTGGGCCAGTAACCACCTGTGCAAAAATGGCGGGACAGTGTTTTACAGGGTGCAAGAATGACCCCAAAAGTCATATTGGGCCTGCACCACGTTTTGCCCTGTTTGGGGGGAAATGAATACGATGATTTCTTCGTGGGGAGGCCTTATAACTTTTCCCTTCTTTTCGGATATTCGCTATCCATAACTATTCTGAGCACAAAAAATCCGCAAATGCAGTGCGGTCTACATTCTGCAAAATGGCTTAGGTCCGGATCCCACAGGAATTCCATTGGAAAAGACTTTTCCGTGGAATGGTTGTCGGAAGAGTTTTGGAAAGTTTGGAAATGGTTGTCGGAAGAGATGTGGAAAGTTTGGAAAGCCTTCTGCGGGGACCCCACTGCGGAGAGAGTTTTGCGGCAAAATCTTGAAAATGTTTTCCATGATAGGAATCGTGCCGGCCAATCGTCTCGGAATGGAAAATAGGTGCTGATGCACAGGTGCCACTTCTCTGACAACAAATCCGACCGGTACCCGGTAGGGCCCAACGAACAGGAATCAAAATTGGACGATTGTGGCCTACGGGTAGGCATAATAGTAGGCAGAGGTTTTGTTGAAACATGGGGGGGATTGCGGCCTACAGGTAGGCATACCAGTAGGCAGAGGTTTTGTTGAAACGTGGGGGGAGTGACCGTTTAAGGTGGCATGGTTATCCATTCTCAATGTTGATAGAACTGACCGGCCCAACATGATTCGGAAATTCACGCATTTAGTTTCATCTCAGGCTGGGACCCCACTGCGGTGCGGATGGAAAAGCCGTCGGCAGCAAAGAGAGGGCAAGAGTTTCTGGAAAGCTGGAAACTCATTTTTTTGGGATCCCACCGCGGAGGCCGTTTCGCAGCAAAGCTGCGATATTTCTTTTCGAAATAGGAAAGGGCCGTGGGGGGTGGCCAAAAAGGGAAAGTTCTTATTCCGGGAGACACCCGCTGGACTGACGGAACGGGCGAGGGTACCAGGTTTGGGTGACGCATGGATGTTACGCGGCCCAAAAACCGAACCAGACCTTGAAAAGTGCGAGACAGCCCCCGAGGCCAGCCTCAGCTTTTGGCACATTTTTGCGGCGAACTTTCCTCCCGACGGCCTTTTCCAGGATGCAGACGGAGTGAAAACGTCCAACTGCTACCTTCCACGCCAAAAAACGCGGCCTGTGGGGTCCTGGAAGACGGTCCTTGGAAAGAATTCGCTGCTTTCCAATGCATTATACGCAGGCTGTGGGATCCCGGAAACACTTCCGCGGCAAAGTTTTTCCTTTCCGCATTCCTGTGGGGTCCCAGCCTCAGTTGAAACGTGTATCAGCCTTTTGGCGCGCACACAAAAATCCTGATAAAAGAAGGGATTTTTTTTTGAAAAAGAGAAAACTAGGGTGGGGCCATGGTTTAAGTATCTAAATGCATTTCCAACTGCAGTTTTTAATTCCAGTCCCGTGGGGAGTTTACTATGCAGTCTAAACTCCTCTTCGCAGAAAAGTCGCACCGTTGAAATTGGAACTGCAGTTCAGTCAGGCAGGTGGTCTTTTTGTTGTTGTTTTTTTTTGGTTGCGCGCCGTGCCATGGCTCGCGACGCATTTTTTTTTCCGCTCGCGACGCATTTTTTTTTCCGATCGCACGCCATTTGCGTGGCTGGAAAAAGAAAGAAAAAAAAAAAAAGCCTCATGGTCGGGGAACGACCGACATGTCTCGGCCAGACCCCAGATTGGCAACGGCCGAAATTTTAGGGGGGGGGGGGGGGGGGGGGGAAAGCAGTGTGCGACCAAAAAAAAAAAGGGGGGGAAACGCAGTGTGCGACCAAAGAAAAAAAAGAAGAAAAGAGGCCACCTTCCTGACTGTGCTGCAGTTCCGAACTCCGCGGTGCCACTTTCTTGCAAAGCCGAGTTTCGACTGCGAAGTAAACTTCCAACGGGACTGGAATTAAAAAACGCAGTTCGAAATGCATGTAGAAACTGTTTTCTTGACTGCGCCCTACCTTCTTCCCCCGAATACAACGTACGGTGATTATAGCTGTATTTAGACTGAAAGATACCCCAAATACAGCTATAATCACCGTACGTTGTATTCGGGGGAAGAAGGTAGTTACCCCCCCCCCCAGAAAAGAAAAAAAGTCCTGATCCACATCCGATATAGGTTTTCCGTTTCTTCCGGGAAGCCGTCGGCAATCTCTGTTGGAAGACTGGAATGAGCCCTTGGGCACATCTACAAGGCACAGAATAGGGAAGATGCAATGACTTCAACAATAATCAAGGCCCCTCATGCGAGTCCAAGTGTTCCGGTCGTGAGCAAAAAATGTTTGTGATTGCACAATTAATTGGGGACAAAAGGCGAAACGACATCTTGTTACAACACAACCTTGAGGTAGTACGAGTGAAGTCCACCAATAAGGATCGATCGCAGAGACTCCATTAGTCTCCATAGTACCCGCAATGTAATTTGTCTGTTGATTATCTGAGCAGTCAAGTGTTTGTGTATAAACCTGGGCCCACCTTGGTCCCGGGTATGGACGGAAGCTGGGATCTGGAACTGGGCATAAAGGGAAAACCAATCTTTGAACAGGGTGCAGGATCTGATGCTGCGCTTGCGGAAAATTCGGCTCAGTTGGTACGGCGATGAACTCGAACAAAAGGGGAAACCAAAAAAAAAAAAACCATACCTTTCTCGGCCTTTCGGCTAAGATCAAGTGTAGTATCTGTTCTGATCAGTTTAATAGCTGATTTGCGGTCCATCGGGCCACAACGACATTAAATCAATTTCTTTCGGCCCCCGGAGGGATCAAAAGGTTAAGCTTGCTTGCTCGACCTTTCCAGCTTTGCCTCTGTGTTGCACTGCGGCAGAGCGCGGCGCAGTCCAAAAAAAAAAACCAAAAAAAAAAACATGATGAAGTGTTGAAACAGAGCCCCCACTTCGATTTCCAATGGAAGCAGATGAGTAAGACCACCTCCGAATTTACCTGGTGCGGGCCCGTCCAACGAAGCTGTCGCAAGGCCGTCCCCCTTCATTCYAAAAGAGAAATTCCTCCCCGCCTCCCCCYYCCYYCYYCCYYCYYCCYYCCCCTTCTTGGTGCTCCAAAGTCCTTACGCCCTTTCTCCAGTTTCCTTTGATGGCTCGAACCTGGCCAACCCCTTCCGGCAATTACGCACGAYTCGGCACGAGGACTTCCGTCTGAATTCCCTGAATTCGTTGACGCCATCCGTTCATCATTGGAATTCATTCTACGCTGCGACACTGTTCTGAGTGTTCTCTCACCTTGGTTACTTGCTTTTCTTCCTCAGGCTCTCTCCCCGTTTTAAGCCGTGGTCAGTTTCATCACGGCAAAGCCAGCTCAGGCTCTCTCCCCGTTTTAAGCCGTGGTCAGTTTCATCACGGCAAAGCCAGTTCTGCTCATTCACTATTTCGTTTGCCTCAATTTTTTTGCCAGGATATGCTGCTGCGATCTCTATCTCCTGAGCCTCGTCCAATCGGTTCCTGTATGCATCCCCCCCTCCTTATGTCTCCTAACGAATCCTAAGGCCTGCAKTGTCCGGTTCGCTCAAGACTTGTCTCTCTGCTCTCGCCACACGACCTCCCTGCACTAGGCCTCGGAGCACACCCTTCTCTCTCGCCTGTTCCATCACTCGTCCAATCCCGTCACCCGCAGAATCCTACCACGTCAGCATCAAGCAGGACCCCAGGTGCTGAAGCTTCCCACGGTCTGCCACYTCAACAGCAGCCTGCCAATTCTGCAAAATCATAGGCTCGAAGAGCGAGACTCSCGAGGTTATTGGGTTCTTATTTCAGTTTTSGGTTGMTAAGGGCGGGGAAAATAATTCGAGCGTAAAAGTCCTYACTGGTAAGGGAGTGGGAGAGTACTAACCAAAGGGTATCATGGGAGACTGCGYCAGGAGCGGCAGCGGAAGCATCGCAAACCGGAAAAGAATATATCAGTCTGCACAGTCAATTCCCTGGCTTCAGGGTAATCAATGCTGTATAGGTAGGATGAAGCCAAGAACGARTGTCTACGGTCTTTTTTTCACCCGAACACAACGCACCCTCATTATGGCTGTACCGGACCGGAAAGATAGCTCGTACACATTCATTATCAGGGTGCGTTGTGTTCGGGGGAAGGCGATAGTATTGGGCCCCCTTGCGGATGTTCTCGTCCACAAACAAAAAAGGACGAGCTCGCTCGCGCTAGTAGTATRAGCGACGCCCACATGCGGATCAATACGAGGATACCGAGATTACAACTCCTTATAAACCCACCTCACCAATCCAGTAGCTCATCGGTCAACAAATACGTGCAGAACAAGGCAAAGATGTCACGGGAAGGGATCCGCTCTAACCCCAAACACCCCACGGCCTCTCTGTCCCACGCTCTCTCTCGCTCTCTCTCTCTCTCTCT